AAAAAAAAAAAAAAAAAAAGAAGTTACAAGATAACTGGAGAAGCAAGACACTCTTCAATAGAGTACTAGAGATCATCGTGATATCCTAATATTATTAATAGGAATTAACATTTATTAAGAATTTACTGTACATGTGTTACCAACCCACATGACCCATTCCGGAAATTTCTATAACTTTGAAACTTCAGATTTTGAAAACTGAATTTGTTTTTATTGTATGCGTTCTTAGAGGTTTTTGAAGACAAGTTATTCCCTTACTCGGTAGGAGATGGAGTGACTGTTACTTAACCAACACCAACAGGAGCAGGAAGATTTACTTGTTCGCTGCTGCATCCCCAGCTCGCAGAGCAAGGCCCAAGCATGAAAATATATTCTGAAATAATAAATGGCCTCTGACGTAATCTGTCATAATAAGAGCTAATCTTTATTGAATACTTACTAAGTGCCTGGTGTTCTGCAAAGCATTTTACATACATGGCCTGTATTTCCAATTATATTCTCTGACAGAGGATTATCTTTATTGTCAAGGAAGAACCTAAAAGCTTAGAGAGAATAACCACTTTGTCCAAGGTCACAGGGCTAGTACAGGCAGACAGAGCATTGGAATGTAGGTTGTTACACACCCTGCTGTAGGGAAGTGTTAGGTGAGGAGGGGTAGTTGTTAGAGAAGAGATGGAAGTGGGTAGATACCAGGGGAAAGGAGAAAACCAGGTGCTCCTCAGGGATTTTTATGTGACAGACCACATCATCTCCTTTCCAGGGAAAGAGACACTGTCTTCATTGCATCTATCCCAGGGTTCAAAGAATAGTGGTACTTTGGGGCTGGTGAAAGTACACCAGACAGTTTTCTTAAATACCCCTCCTGCTTAGCCACCAAAGGCCAAAACCCTCAAGGTGTTTTCTGGCTTCCACTCCCCCACTGGCCTCTCATCCCATTCTGACTGTCCTCTTTTCCTGTCTCGTGATTCTGCCATCAAAATTCTCATTCTCTCCTTGATTTCAGCTTAGAGTCAAGAAGAAAACAATCTGATTAGCTGATTAAAATAATTCCCACTAAGGTGCCATCACTTAGCCTTCCCTGGAGCTTAGTCATTAAAATGATTCTCTAATTGGTGGGATTTATGGTGGAATTTTTTTTCTATTGGCATCCTCCACATCAAGAAACTAATAGTAAGAGATCAATAAAGTGCATCTAGGTGCCAAGAACATGCTGGTAACTCTCACACATTATCTCATAGCAACCTGAAGAGGCAAATATGATTTCCAACGTATAGGTAAAGAAATGGAAGCCAGGTGTGGTGGCTGACGCCTGTAATCCCAGCACTTTAGGAGGCTGAGGTGGGCAGATCACCTGAGGTCGGGAGTTCAAGACCAGCCTGACCAACATGGAGAAACTCTGTTTCTACTAAAAATACAAAATTAGCTGGGCATGGTGGCACATGGCTGTAATCCCAGCTACTCTGGAGGCTGAGGCAGGAGAATTGCTTGAACCCGGGAGGCGGAGTTTATGGTGAGCCAAGATTGTGCCATTGCACTCCAAACTGGGCAATAAGAGCAGAACTCCATCTCAAGAAAAAATTAAATAAATAAAAGAAATGGAGACCTGGAAGGGTTCAGTAATTTGCCTAAGGACCTAGCTTGTAAAGGGAGCTAGAATTTCGACCTCTTTATATTAACCATTACTCTTCTTGCCTCTCAAAGGTTAGCATCTTCTGCTTCTGGGAAGTGTACAATTTAACTCCATTCTAATATCATAGGAGGAAGAGTTGGTGTGTGTCCATCCATTACCCATGTAGCCACTTGGGTACACTCTATTGAGTGCCCACGATGTGTCTGATACTTTGCTTGGGTGGGTGTATTGAAACAAATCTATTTTTGTTCCCAGGGTCTCAGAATACAATGTGTGCCTATTACCAGAAGTAATGTGTGAATGGGTGTGGGTGAACTGAGGGCCCAGGGGATAGACACTAAGAAAACAGCTATGAGGTAACGTGGTAAGTGCCAAAGGTGAGACAGGTACAAAGTGTTGGGAGATTATGAAAGGCAGAGTGATTTTTGAAATTAAAACAGATAAAAGTGAAAAGAGGCCAGGTGTGGTGGCTCACACCTGTAATCCCGGCACTTTGGGAGGCCAAGTTGGACAGATCACTTGCAGTCAGGGGTTCAAGACCAGCTGGCCAACATGGTGAAGCCCCCATCTCTACTAAAAATACAAAAATTAGCTGGGTGTGGTGGTGTGCACCTGTAATCCCACCTACTAGGGAAGCTGAAGCCAGAGAATGGCTTGAACCCGGGAGGCAGAGGTTGCCGTGAGACAAGATTGTGCCATTGCACTCCAGACTGGGCGATACAGCAAGACTCAGTCTAAAAAAAAAAAAAAAAAAAGTGAAAAAAGTCAGCTTTGCTTAAGGCTTTTTAGAGACACCATTCTTTCTCCTGCATTCTAATGAATAACTCACTTCAGAATTATACAGCAACCAGGTGGTGTTACTCTTACTTGCTAATGAATATACTAACTCCCTGTGGCAATACAGAAGTTGAGTAAGCAGGAAAGTGTCTTCAGGTACTGAACTTGTCCATCGATTTTCAATAGACACAGCCT